GACGCTGAGAGTGAGAGCACCGCCCGCGCCGCCGACGGCACTTGCCGATGTGATCGAGATGCTACCCGAACTACCGCTGGAGGCGGCACCGGAGCTGAGGGTCACGGAGCCACTCGATGTGGAACCAGCCGTCGTGATGGACATCGCACCGCTGGACGCACGTTGACCCAGCACCACTGGTCAGGGTGAGGGCACCACCAACCGTAGCTGTTGATGCACCTGCCGTGATTTGAACGCTGCCACCGACACCACTACCCGCGCCCGCTGTCAGCGTAAGAGCCCCACCAAGCGCTGAAGCGGTTGTAGACCCAGCGACAATTGAAATACTACCACCCGCACCAGACGTCGCGGAGCCAACTGCGAGGGTGATGGCACCACCGGCACCGCTTGTAGCAGCACCCGTCGAGAGCTGGATTGCACCGCTGCTGCCAGCGGTGGTCAAGCCCGACGCAAGAGAAATCGAGCCACTCACGCCATTTGTACCACCGGCAGCAGTCAAGATCGAAACGCTGCCACTTGATGTCGCACTGCCTGCGCCCGACTGCAGCGTCAACGATCCACCAAAGTTGTTCGTGGACAATCCTGCCGCGAGCGAGACTGAGCCACCGACGCCTGTCGCGCCGCTGCCAGCTGAGATTGTCACGGCGCCACCAGTACCACCGGACGTCGAAGCACCGCTGTTTATCGACACGGAGCCGCTCGAGCCGCCACTAGACATGCCACTTGAGATTGCGACACTTCCACTGGCACCAGCGGAGCTGGAGGCAGTTGCGATCGACACGGAGCCTGATACCATGGCCGCCCCAGACATCAGAGCCAAAGAACCTCCAGTGGCGACGCCAGACCCGGCTGTAAAGAGCACGTCACCACCGACACCAGTGCTTGGTTGTGTTCCCGCACCAGCCGTAATGGACACACTGCCACCGGTTCCGACATTGCCGGAGCCCACGGACATCACAATTGAGCCACCGTACCCCGACGTCGCCAAACCGGTGCCAAAGACCAAATTACCGGTGTTGCCGCTTGTCGATGTACCCGATGTAAAGCTGAGAAGGCCAGAGCCGCCTGTCGTTCCTGCGTTCGCACTACTGATGTAGACACTACCGCTGGACGTCGTCGAGCCTGTCCCCGATGTCAGAGTCAAAGACCCCCCATAGTTGTTGCCAGATTGGCCTGCTACAATCGCCACAGCCCCACCGACGCCGACCGCGCCCGTGCCGGCAGAAATGGAGACTGCGCCACCGGCTCCGGCTGATGAGGAGCCACTTGCGATCGTCAGTATACCGCTGATGCCATACGACGCACCACTTGACAAAGTCACGCTTCCACTGGCACCAGCCGTGCCCGAAGCAGCCGACGCCAATGACAGAACCCCCGACGAGCCCGCGGGACTCGATCCCGAGGTGACTTGAACGGCACCGCCAGTTGCGACCCCGATGCCACCGGTGACAGTGATACTGCCACCAACACCAGACGGTGTCGATGTACTCTGACCTGCTGTCATGGACAAGGGACTGCCCGTCGCCGAGCTGCCCGACCCGACCGTGAGCGCGATTGGGCCGCCACCGCCACCGACGCCAGTACCCGTCGACAAGATCAAGCCGCCGGCGACACCACTCGTAGACGCACCCGTACTGATCGTGATAGAACCCGATACACCCGAGGTGCCCGCGGCGGCGCTACTGATCACGACACTGCCGCTAGACGTTGCCGCGCCAGCGCCAGATGTAATCGAGACAGAACCACCGACTGCCGCCGTCGATTGACCGCCAGCAACGTTGACACTTCCAGTAGAGCCACTGGCGACCGTACCGGCCGATATGGTGACTGCAC